TCTATTGTGGCTATGTTTTGCAGAAATAGCAATGCATACTCATCATCAGTTCCATAACATAGCATTCTATAGCATTTGGCTTTTATATACTCCCATTGGTACCTAACTCCTAGACTTGACGTGCATGTTGCATCTTTGGCTGTCGAGGGCGTGCGAATGACCCATATTGATAACAATACAATCAGCCGCCTTCCTCTGATAGCAAGGACATTCACTCTGATAAGAAGCTGCATTCGTCCCAGGAAGATGAATCTTTGACCTTTTACTCAATGCTAAAGATAAAATAGCATAGCTTGAGTTTGACTTTGAGCTTGACCTTGTATACAGGGTGTTGAAAAAAAGTGGGGACAAAATTTACAATGTGATTTCTTGGGTCAAAATAAATAGAAGATAAAGGTTAAAACTTTTTCCAAAATGCTTCGTTAACCAGATATCCTCCATTTTTAAAATAAATATTTATATCTTTAGAGTGTCTCAACCGATTTTTATGAAACTTGGTACTTATGTTAAAGTAGAAGAGACCCATCTTAGAAAATATATTCCCTTGATACAATTAAAATTTCAAAATGGCAGCCATTTTAACTTTTTAATCTAAATTACAGAAAATTGCTGATTTTCTGTAAAGCATCAATATTTTTAGTTCTACGAAAAGGAAAAGCTGACTAGTTTAGCCTTATTGTACCCCATTTTACAACTAAAAATCTTAATATTTCAGTTATTTTTTATTCCATCGTTTTGAACTTGGTGTCATTTGATTATATAAAATTATTTTGATACTCGTTTAACAGCGGTAAAACATGAACTCGTCCATTAGAAGCGTATATAGGTCCTTCTCCTATGCTCCTCGGGAGTCAACAAGTTCAAGGATCTTGTCCAAAAGTATATAGTCCTATGGTAACAAAAATTAAAACACAATGTTTACATTTGCACTGTAATACAATGTTCTATCTTGTCTGTATTTTGGTAAATTGTTCTGTTGAACTATTTTTTTTTTAAAATAAACCAAGTTGTATAGTTTATTTTTTACGATCAATAATAGTAGGTGTATAGTTGTTCTCAAAATTTGTAAAAAAAATTATTCTCTGTGTTTCACCCTGTTGCGAAAAACTCGCATGCAATTAGTTATTATAAATACAGTAACAATAATAATAACAAACAATACCCCCGTCGCAGCAAACCTGACAACTAAGCGAATTTCCATTTGTCTGAATTGATTTTCAATTAAATATATTTAAATGAGTACCTAGGTTTGCTGCTACAAGGAAACTAATAAAGTGTGTTTTTAGTAAAATATTAATAGCTTAGTACAAAATAAATAAGTTTGCCAAGATTGATCAAAATATATCCATAAACAACCAAACTACAACATTTTACAATATTCTCCATAAGAATAACATGGGAATTTTTAATTTAAAATTTTCTCCGTTACCAATAACCGTACAAAAATACTTTTATATACAAAATTATTTGTTTTTTTAAGCTCTTTAAAAAGGTATAAAGAGAAATTGGGAAACTTTGTGTTTTGAGGGTCAAAAGTGAGAAAAACCAATTTTTACCCCATAAAACCCCCCGTAAAGCCCTGTTCCCATGGTCCGATCATGCTGGTTCGCGAACTCATTCAAGTTTATCCCGCTTTACACCTTTAAACCAAATTTCATCAAAATCGGACAAAAATTACTCAAGTTATCGCGTTCACGGACACATATATATATATATAAATCTATATATATATATATATATATATATATACATATATAAAAATTTTAACGAATGGTGTTTTTGGCCTCTGGGGACATCAAAATGAAAAAGTAAATCGCTCCCGGGCTTAGGTCTTACCATGCCACCTACGGTAATAGCTACTTCCCTATAGGGAAATTAGCAAAAGATTAACAAGCTGTAATAATAATTTTAAAGGATGTAGTGTTATATACATATTGAAATCGTCACTCGGGCAAGAGCGTGTAAATAGTTTCATTGAAACATATGTTTACACGAACACGTGTTAGAAAGTTGTTGCAAACAGCAAACTTTAATATGTTAACTTAAGGGAGCTTTGAAAGTTTTGGGCAAACTGTAATTTAGCGTTAGCAATTGTTTCAGATCCCTTGCGTGGTGGGTTAGGTGGATTACTTTGTATTTCTTATTTTCGGTTCCTTTAAAGATAATCATGCATGTGTAGTTTAAATCTACTCTTTAAATACCTATTAATACTAAAAGTCGTCCGTCCAGTGGGCGAAAACTCAACCAAAAATACGTAATGTATAGACTTTTCTATATTCACCCTACTCTGTAAATAAAACAAGTGATTGGAATTTCAAATTTTTTTATTTTTAATTTGTTTTGATATTCTGTTCATATTTCGTTCTTATTTCGTCACTATTAGGCCCAGGTTATTTATTTTTTAATTTTAAATTTATTTATTGCTTTTATTTTTGAGCCTATTTAAATTTATGAATGGATTCTGCACATCTAAAGGAAAATATCTTTCTAACAGTATGCTTAGATTTTCCCTGCGATGCACACGATCTGAGAAAGAAGGATTTCAATAAACATGCTTGCCTATTAATATATACTAGAGGTCGTCCCGTTGTCGAAAACTCTACCAAAAATATCTATTGTGCAAACTTCTCTATATTCAACCCACGCTGTAAATAAAATCATGTGAATGGAATTTCTTCCATTTGTTTTGATTTCTATTTATTTTTCGTTGTTATTTCGTCACTAGCATGGCAACCCATACGGGCCATGTAGTTTTTTTTTATATTTAAAATTTGTTTTTTTTTTTTGCTTATTTTTAGCCTATTTTAATTTATAAAGGGATTCTGCACATCTACAGGTAAATATCTTTCTAACAATAGGCGTAGATTTTCCCTGCGAGGCACATGAGCTGAGAAAAAATTTATTATTTGTCAGCTGCTATATTTGTCAAAAACAAGGCTACGTATATCATCTTTCTCCAATCTATACTCTTCCTGCGTATTCCGTTCAATAAAACAACGAAGTTTATTTACCTGTCTAAATGTAACATTTAGCAATTTTTATTGCACATTTGAGTATTTGCCGAATTATATTAGTGAATTTCTTATACGGTACGTAAACAGACGTATCAGGAAGTATTATTTTGTTTGCTTATCTAAAAGCTCTACCAGGTTTCTTGTTTGTTTAAAGGGTTGAAAACGTCATCGATAATTTAAGGCAAACTTCATTTGGTAGGTCTTGGTTGCTTAAAAACACCGACTTTGAAATATGATAGTATCCTAATATCTCCAATTGACTTTTTTCTTTATAGCAATGGTAGTTCAACATTTTATTTAGTTTATTCTGAAACAAATCAGTGAAAAAACAATATAAGCAATTCTGTTCTTTACAATGAGTAGATGTTACGTTTTGATTAAGCTGTAGACCTATGTATGTTTAAGCTAAACGAAAAATGCAAACAAAAAACTTAACACCAAATTTGCGAAAAAGAACGCCATTGTTGAGGCTTTTTGTGGAACGTTAATGCACTTAGGGATAATCGAGTTAGGACACCCAACCTAACTGACAGGGCACTCCATTACGAAATTTACTAGATTTTACAGTTTTATAAAATGTTTACTGGCCTTTGTTTATTTTTTGTTTAAAGCCTACACAATTGACATCCCATATTTACAAGAATTCTTTCGAGCACATTAGGCTTCGAGAATATTATTAGGCTGGATTTTTTCCCATCGACTACTGTCATGTAGACAAGTCTCTAGCCAAAAGGCCCCACCCCTACCCCAATTGCCTTTTCCCCCTACAGCCCTCCAAAGTTAAGGTGTAGTACTTTGCAAATTGATTATATTTCAGTAAATATTTTAGATAGACCTTACATCTTGCTGTTTTAATATTCCTAAAATTACGGTATAAAACTACTTATCTTGGGTTTTCTGATTATTTACTAGTTTATTAGTTATTACGATATTTCATACAAAAAATCGAAATTTGTTCATTATATTCCAGAGTGTTTGCACATATTATTTTAAAGCAAGGGTCCATCAATTACCATTAGAAAAGTGTTTTCAAATAAATATTTTTTCCTGCTAATAAGCTTTAAAATTATATTTTGATAGTATTGTTCTCTGCAATTTAACATTTGAAGAAAAATGTGCACCACGCACCACGCCTCAAACCGAGCATCGACGTTTAGTACAAATATGTTGACAAAAGAAAATTAGCACAAGCAAGGAATTTGGTACATATGTTTGGTATACCTTCCTTTTGAACATGCTAAAAGTCCCCTAAAATTGAAGATGTGCTACTGCCACCATATTGGAAAATGCTGCATACTACCCCAAGTAGGGTTTTTGGCTAAAGACGTGTCTACGTGACAGTAGTCGATGGGGAAAATCCAGCATAATAGTACTTTTGTCTAAAATCCCTAGATTGACTGGACGATTGATTTACATCTTTTCCATCACAAAAAACAACCCTTAAATGGTTATAGTTAATAACGCTTATTTGTGGTTGAATAGTCATCGACAGAATGCACCATAATCCTTTGCATTGTAGGTGGTTTAAGGGAAAATGATTCCACTCCCTCCACAGAACCCTAACTACGAAACAACAACCAACAGCCTATCAGCTGATATATACAGCTTTAGAGGGAACCCAGGATACCTCCCCTACATTTTGTGAACGGACTCTAATGTATGTTACTGATTTCTGTCGAATAATCCAATTGTTTAACCAATCCAAACTGAAAGGAACAAGTTATGTACACTATAGCAATTTCAAAGTCTAATCAACCATCGAATTGCATTTCCAACTGAAGCAGACTCTGAGAGTAGCACATTTAATCTAGTTATTTTAAATCTTTTACAAGCAATTGGCTACAGCTAGTCAATATACAGTAATAATGGTATAAATGGGATGTCTAAGTATCAAAACTATATGGCCAAACACACATGAAAATAATGTCTGAAACAATAATATTGCTTGTAAGATACAAAATAGTTACACTTGGCAATTTTTGGCAGGAACGAAGACATCAGAGATGCGATCCTCTCGCTGATCCACATGTTCCGCGACAGCACGGACAAGCTGGAGAGACACGAGTACCGGGAGAGAGTGTTGGGAGATCACCTGAAGAAGGCGCTGTCTGCCCTGGACAAGCGACAAAGGTCACTGGAACACAACACGGAGGTCATCGGAGCTGCGGTCACCAAGCTGGACGAGCGACTACGCGATCTGGAGGGGAAACTGGACAATCAGGTAAGTAGATGAGCTTGGAAATTCTACACACTTGCAGAAAAGGGTAAAAGATAGACACTCTGGAGGAATATGAAACATAAACAGTTGTTAACCAACCTGTGGGGCCATATTAAACGATAAACTACAGTTTCCACTCTATTTTTAATTCGTTCATCAATAACTCTGTCCATCCTACAACAGCTGATCTTTGCCCACTTTATCTTTCACACAATTGATAAGCATAGATAAGCTGGTCTAGTCTGCGGTTACCTCCCGCTTTCTCCGCGTCCCGCCACCTCCGTGTACCGCTACCTCCGAATTTCAGAGTGACCCCTATAATCCTCGGTTACTTCCTGCGTTAAAACTTTCCGTCCAAACCTAACCTAATCTAACTTAACCTAACCTAACCTAACCTAACCTAACCTGACCTATCCTAACCTAACCCACGGGTTAAATTTTCATTAAATCTTCCATCCACGGGGCTTCGCAGCCGTGGATGCAATGACAGCTAACAACGCAGGCAGTGACGGGATTATAAGGGTCACTCAAGAATTCGGAGGTGGCGGGACAGATTTGGGTTCGGAGGTGGCGGAACGCGGAGATAGTGGGAGCACACGCTAGTCTGCTCCCTTGCTACCTTGTGCGGTCAGGCATCTTTTGTTATAACAGGCCAGTCTCTTAAATGTTTCATTGTTTTATGTATTAATTCGTAATTTTGTTCGTGCCGTTTCGTACTATGTTTATCTTCTAACGATGTAAACTACTGATCAACTCTACATGTACCTGAAGCTGACGATAGTGTTTTAATATCGAAACATGTCCTGAATTGACACATTTTATTAAGCTGTGACGGGATTACGTAAGTCATTTCGTCTTACATTATATACAACGGGCTACACACATGGATTTTAAAGAAACATTTAGTTTACATCAGCATACTCAAACGCAACCAACATAATACACACATACACCAACTAGTTCTCTTTTAAATAGCATTCTCAAATTAAAATATTGAATTTCAATTTAATATAGATATATGCAAATTCAGTCATAATTTTTTACTTTAATACAGCAATTTTCTCACTTCTATCAAATAGATGAAAAACTATTCACTTGAGTAATAGCAAGTACAACATGAAGTAGGCTACTAATTGTAGAAAGGTAAAATCAAAAACTCCATCGGCATACACGTGTAGCAACGGTGGGATGATTAAACGATGAAAAGGTAAAGTGGAATTAGTTTCTGCATGTGTTTGCAGCCATATGAGTGCTAATGTTATGGCTGTTATAACTGAACACTGCGGTGGCTCATAACATGAAAACTTATTAGATAACGCCATAATGTGTTGTGGAACATTATTATTCTGTTTGTCCTTTATTCATTATCATTTTCAACTCTCCTTCAAATGTAGTACCGTAGCCTATATAACTATGTATCAGAACCTACATTCCAGTATTCATACTCAAATTAAACTACAAATATAACTATATTAATATTAAATATGAACTTATTACCAACTTCTACTTTAATACATTGATGGTCAAGGATTTGATCACATTTCAAACAGATTTCAAGATTGATGATTAAATCTAGTTCCCTGTCAAATGTTTTTTGGCAGAGAAATGTCTATAGGGATATAATTCAACTTTATTATTTTTATTTTCATAGAGCAAAAAAAATAATAATTACTGAATGATAATATTAAGTCCTTAAACTAATCAATAAACTGAACAACACACGAACCGAATTTAGTTTTTCTAACAGTATGTAATTGAATGGTGAAATTCCAGACTTGTTTGTTTTAGATTTGAGGGACTAAAAGTATTTTGTTGTTGCAGAACAACGAACGTGACAAGACAGTATACACTGTGGACACAATGCAGGGTTCCATACAGGGATGGATGAGCAACATGGAGAACATGGTCCATAACATGTCGTCCAGGGAGTCAGGGGGAAGAGTAGACGCTATGGAGGCAGCTCTTAGTGCTAGAGTGGACAACCTTGCATCAGCAGTGGAGAGGTTGGAGGTAGGTTTATGAAAGGTAAATACTTGTATGGATGACACACCCTTAGAACATGGAGAACATGGTCCACAACATGTCGTACAGGGAGTCAGGGGAAAGAGTAGACGCTATGGAGGCAGCTCTTTTGCTAGAGTGGACAACCTTGCATCAGCGGTGGAGAGGTTGGAGGTAGGTTTATGAAGGGTAAATACTTGTATAGATAACACACCTTTAGAACATGGAGAACATGGTCCACAGCATGTCGTCCAGGGAGTCAGGAGGGAGAGTAGACGCTATGGAGGCAGCTCTTAGTGCTAGAGTGGACAACCTTGCATCAGCGGTGGAGAGGTTGGAGGTAGGTTTATGAAAGGCAAATACTTGTATGGATGACACACCCTTAGAACATGGAGAACATGGTCCATAATATGTCGTCCAGGGAGTCAGGAGGGAGAGTAGACGCTATGGAGGCAGCTCTTAGTGCTAGAGTGGACAACCTTGCATCAGCGGTGGAGAGGTTGGAGGTAGGTTTATGAAAGGCAAATACTTGTATGGATGACACACCCTTAGAACATGGAGAATATGGTCCACAACATGTCGTCCAGGGAGTCAGGAGGGAGAGTAGACGCTATGGAGGCAGCTCTTAGTGCTAGAGTGGACAATCTTGCATCATCGATGGAGAGGTTGGTGGTAGGTTTATGAAGGGTAAATAAATACTTGTATGGATGACTCACCATTAGAAAATGGAGAACATGGTCCACAACATATCGTCCAGGGAGTCAGGAGGGAGAGTAGATGCTATGGAGGCAGCTCTTAATGCTAGAGTGGACTATCTTGCATCAGCGGTGGAGAGGTTGGTGGTAGGTTTATGAAAGGTAAATACTTGTGTTGGTGACACAACTTTAGAACATGGAGAACATGGTCCACAATATGTCGTCCAGGGAGTCAGGAGGGAGAGTAGACGCTATGGAGGCAGCTCTTAGTGCTAGAGTGGACAACCTTGCATCAGCGGTGGAGAGGTTGGAGGTAGGTTAGTGAAGGGTAAATACTTGAATGGATGGCACAACTTAAACATGGACACATGGTCCACAACATGTCTTCCAGGGAGTCAGGAGGGAGAGTAGACGCTATGGAGGCAGCTCTTAATGCTAGAGTGGACAATCTTGCATCAGCGGTGGAGAGGTTGGAGGTAGGTTTATGAAGGGTAAATACACATGTTGTTGTATGGATGACACACCTTTAGAACATGGTCCACAACATGTCGTCCAGGTAGGCAGGGGGGGGGGAATAGACGCAATGGAAGCAGTTCTTAGAGTCATCGGGAATAATGTGCATGAGCATTGGAATTTAAAAATTCATATACTGAAAACTTTTTCATTTCAATCTCTAGAAATGCTACCATTTTCATTTGTTTTGTAAGGTTCACTTATTGAGGCCGTCATCGACAGCGGTTGGACCAGCAGACCTGGAAGGATTGTTAAGAAACATGGAGAATCGACTATCAAGACTTCAGGTGTCTCCTACTCAAGACTATTCAACAATACAGGTGGGAAATTATTAAAAATACACGTTGTATATTGTAGTGCCTATAAGCTATAACTGATTGAACCAGATACTTAAAACGAGTTCAAAGATATCTGTATATTAATTTGAAACTGTTTTTCTTTGTGACAGCTATTTTGAGAGAACGGCTGGGCGTAGCAACTCGGTAGAGGAGTCTAAAGAAAGGTCTTGGTCTGTAGATGAGCCATCAAAAGAGAAACATGGTGAATTCTCTTGGGGCTCTGCCCCCGTGGCCTTTAAATTCCCATCCCATGTTATTCTTATGGAGGAAAACGTGGTTTTTGTCACAGCTATTTTGAGAGAACGGCTGGGCGTAGAAACTCGGTAGGGGTCTCTAAAGAAAGGTCTTGGTCTGTAGATGAGCCATCAAAAGAGGAAAGAGGTAAATTCCCTTGGGGCTCTGCCCCAGAAGCCTTTAAAGTTGCCTCTTCAAATTTGTTTACATTATGACCATATGCATAATTCTACACTACTTTTTAATGCAACAGCTGTTAATATTTAAATTGTGATTTATTGAATTTGTCAAAATGAAGTACAGTATTTGCAATGGATTTTTCTGATTTTAAAATTGATTTTCTTCTGAATCGTGTCATGTTTTGCAATATAATGTTCTATTAACTAATCATTGGAAAATCCTTAATATCACAGTAACTTTTAAAATTATTTCTTATGAAGTTAACTTATAATCTTTAAGTCGCCTGTAATGCTTCGTAATTGCTCGAATTCGAGCAACAGGTACACTAGTTATTTGTAAATTACCAGTTATATTCCATTTAGTTGATTTTAATATTAATTTTTATTCAACTATAATCAAGTTTCCACCAATACAATATTTAATAATTACAATTTTCAAATTTAAAAAATAATAAAAAACATCTTCTCGTTAGTGTTTATTGTTAAAAAGGTAATATCTCTTGTTTTAAACATATGTGAGAAACTATGAATATGTTAGACAGAACCAAAGGACCAAATTAGTTCAGAATCTAAAATAAGCCATTCAAGGAGGCTGCATCGATCTCTATACCAGAGGAAAAGGGAGAAACGAAATCCATGAGTGTATTTAAGTCCATACAGGAGAGATACATATGAATGCAATTTATACCCTCTTAAGGTAATCTTCAATATGCCCAATTGCTTTTGGAAATTTGAGGATGTACGCAAACTAATAAAAAATGGCAGGGAGGCATTGCACGTAAACTAAAACATTATTTTAGAAGGTTTACAAATATTTGAAGGTGTTTTACCGAAAATATTTTAAACATGTCTTAAATTAAGTTGTATTTGTTATAATCCTTCATACCAATCTTTGGAATATGGGTTTAACCTCTCTTAACTTTTATTCAGAAACCTTTCGTACCCCTAGTTATTGCAACAATTATTTTATTTGAAAAATTATTGGTTAATTCAGTTTTTTGGACTATTTAATTTTTCTAATATCTCTTTTCAAACATGTATAGAAATATAGCTATCTAGGCAGTATCATATTTGATGGCATGTATGTCAACATGAAGTACCTACGAAACGTGTTTTTGTGGTGATTGAGCGTTCAAAAATAGTTGTTCATGTTTTTGTAGTAGATTGTTTCCTAATAGATCTAAAAGAAGTTATTTAATGTGTGACGAAGTACTAATTACGTTTGGTTTTACAGTCGGCTCTAGACGGACAGGGGAGATCTCTAGCAGAGCTGAAGGAGATGACGAACACAGCAACTCGTGCTCTGGAGGAACTAGCAACAAGAGCTGAAGTAAGAATCATATCTTCATTTAATTTTTAATCAATCATTTACCATGCAATAAAAATATGTACCGTCACTACAAAAATAATAGTGTCGTGGATAAACAAAGTTAATCATTTTGGTTGATACATGGAACATTTTGTTTAGTATAAATAAAAAAGGATAATATAAAATACACAGATATGTGATAAGTAAAACTGAGGGCTGAAAATATGGATTTTAATAAGTAGAACTGTTATTACTCTTGAAAATCTTAAAACTATTTGCTAATCTTATCTAATTTTACTATCGATCAAAGTATTTAAGTTTTTTCAGTAATTTCCTTGTCCGTTTCTTGCTCTTTGGTTATGAATTCTTTTCACCGAATAGAAAGGCTTTAAGTTATTTTTTATACCTTACCCAATACCCATACACCAGTAAGTTATATCCACACAGATATCGTACACTGACAATTTACACTCTTGCTTTAACACCACTTCGTTAAACTTTTTATTTGAAGCTCCTGTATTCATTTCTATCTCTATCCAATTAAAATTCCTTTCATTACACAAACTAATTCTTTTGTTATCTCTTTTAACTATACATCCCTGTAGACCTTTCTGCCGGTCTCCCATTTTTCCTCGATACGGCTATCTTTGAACCACAACTGTAATTTCCTCTAAAGATTTGAATCCTACATAAATATTTCACTCAGGTGGTTGGACTGATGAACTCAACACGTGACGAGCTACAAGAGATCAAGTACGAGTTATCAGCTAGTTCTGACAAGGGCTTTATGCGCCTCGAGCACAAGATGGACGACACACACAAGTCTCTTACCTCGGGACAAGAAGATCTCCACAAGACAATGACCGACGCGAGCGTCATGGCGGAGGCTTTCTACGGTGATGTCCAGAAGAGCTACGAACAATTGCTCAAGGAGGTAAACTTGATTTAACACAAAACATTATCTTGTAACAATCGTTTGATATTTTATGTGCTAATCTGGCTTCAAGACATGCTTCGAATGCCAGTAGATGATTTACTTCCTTGTTGTCTCAAATCATGTTGCGTGTTCCTATTCTTTCTGGTAATAGTACATCATTGTGTGTGTTCCGTAACTTCTCATATTGACCAATATGCTGGGAAGATCTGGGGGAACTATTAAATACCAGTAAAATGTTATTTGCAATTCTGCTCCAATTATGTCTTTTATAGCAGAAAATGAGTAAAACATTTTGTCCGAAGGAACATTGTAACCCCAACATAAAACTGGTCGTTTTGCCTAACATTGGTATGTTTTTTACCTTTTTTAATAGCTTGGTAAGGAATTGAAAGTGGATCAAAAATGGATCCTTATCAGAATTAAAACTGCAGGATTTGTATTTAGAGGGAACACTATAAATAAGTTTTTCCTTCCTTTGTGTCCACGAAAATAAGTATATTTAATTGTAAGAATAATCCACACACAACTTTACCCTGAAGTTTTAACTTTTCAGGTGAAAGGTTTAGCCAAGGTGGAGCAAGTGATGATCCAGACTGCAGACAACGTCCTTGACACCAAGCGAAGAATCGAGTACGGTGTTCATCAGATTCTCCTGGAAATCGGTGATCTTGTGAAGCTCCAGATGAAGGACCTCAACGCCACAGTACACAAACGCTTTGACAACATCTCGTTGACCATACTGGACAATCAGAACGGAGGTCTCACCAACCTCAGCTCCAAGATAGAGTACGAGATCAGTCAAGTTTGGAGGCAGATCGGCATCATGTATCAGCAGTTGACAGCTTCAGCAGGAGCATTGGACAGGCTTCAGCAGCAGACTGATGCTTATGTCAATGGCAGTCTGCAGACCATGGATAGTATGGAGGGAAAGGTAGGTGAAATGGTTAAACATATTAAATGGTTTATCTTCCTTATTCTTTTCTCGAGGTCCACCATTTTTAAGAACATTGGTCAAGCATTATATTTTGAAAACCAGCAGATTTTCACTGAATTTCCTTCAACTGCGAAGGAAAGCTAGATTATATTGTAAGATCCGATGTTGAATCAATATCAGTTACTCATCAAGTAATACTCCTAACAGGCTGCCTAAAATTGCTTAACAAATAAGTTACTAATTATTTTACTGAAGTTGTCGTTGTACTAATTTATCTTTATATACGAAAATTTGGGACGGTTACGTTTTTGTTAAGTATGCTCATTGTCCAAGATATTTGGTCAAGTGAGTTTTAAGGAAATTTCCTTAATGTATTTAGGATTTAGTTATGTTCTTCCTAACACTATAGCCTTTGCCAAAGTCGTTTGTACATTAAACAAACTAGCCTAATTTAAATGTTTGTGTTAAACGTAATTCAATAATTTAAAATCATGATCAGTGGTATTAAAAAAAGATTTGCTACCACAGGTTGTTTTACTAAAACTATAAGGACAATGCACTTGTTTATTCATTCCACATCCATATTATTTACATTAACCTCCAATACAAGTCCAATTCCTACAACCTTTTTAGAATACACCAATCGCATTCATTTTCTCATAGTCTAACTATTTATTTAACATATACATACCTAGTACCTAACTCCTAAATACAAATTTTAATCTGACCAAGCTTTTAACTTGTCCAGGTTGGGCAGATCACAGGCCGTATGAGTGAAGTGGACGACAACCTGAACTACTTGTTGGGTCGTTTGTCTCTGGTTACACAAGAGTTCAACCAGATAAAGAGCGGACTTGGTCAAGCACTGGACTCGATTAAAAGTAGCTTCAAAAGTGTTCAGGAACAGATCAAAGACGTAGGACCAGGACCTAATCCAATACCTTCGGAGGAAACGATCAGTGACGTAGACAACCAAGTATAACGACAAAACAGCTCAAGATCAACGAATCTGTATCCAAATAAACATTGACTACAATGGCGTGAATTGAGAATAGTTCAAGAAAGCCTTCGGATTGATTGAATTATTTTTGAATCGGGAAAATTCTTAGAAGATGTTGGGTTTTTTTAAGCAAAGCTCCACTTACAATATGTGTTCTGTTTAGTGAGCTTACAGGATTTTAAGCGATTTAAAGGGGGTAGGTAAGTTTTAAAACCGAACTGCCTTGTTGCTTCCAGCTGTTTAGATATTGATGGTTGTATAGTGGTTGCATTCTTTTGACCAAAATCTTATGTTTCGTCTTTTGGATGGATGTTTTAAATTTGATTCTTTCCACACCTAACAATATTGAATCATATGGATTTAACTGGAGGTTTTGTACAATGATATAAATTAATTGATTTGAAATATATATATACTTAACTGTTATGAGGTAATCCAATTAAGGAGACTGTGAAACGATTCAAATACATCCTAGTGTACCAAAACTGACAGTTTACTGTTTGATTGTACATTTTAGATGACAACCATATAAAATCAAACAACGCTCATAAACTATTTAAAATGTGGTTAGATAATATAGCGTTAAGAAATAGTACTATGATCGTTTTACAACATTGTATAAAAAACAACATTTTTAAAAGTGCTATTTTAAGAATAAATGTGTGATTATATTAGAGATATTAAAGGTATTAAAATTACTTCGGAAAAGAATAATATAATAAAAATATATGATGACAAATGTTCATTTTGTAAAATAAAACTTGTATCAATTATTATTTGTGTAGCCTATAATGACAGGAATACATATCTAGTACATTAATTTAGAACTAAACCCCAATAATAATCTACACTAACTAATATCTAATATGAATGAGACTTATTTTATGTTACATTTGTAAATATTTACAATGTATTAGCTTTACGTTATAGCTTTAGACTAGTAGTTGTTAGAAATATTTTTACGTGTTTTGATTTGTTTATGAAGTTAAAAACTGATTTCTATGATTTTAAAATAATGAGAGGCCACGTACCATTAAGCGATCCAGCCGTATTATGAATATATTTTTTTACTGTAATTATTTTTTTTATAATTCACAAAATTGTAATAGGGTTTCCATATAATAATATCGCAAGGAAATATATAGGGTTTTGAAAAAAGGTCAAGCCGAAACAATTTTTTAGGGAGGAAATATACAATACAAATTGATAACATGATAATGAGGGTTTGTGTATTGAAATTAAAATAGTATTTGACACCAAGCGAGCATTATTGCTGTTTTGTTATGTTTGTTATGGTTCAACCATGACTAATACTACTTAAAATGTAATGATTGCATACATCGTATTCCAATTTGAGTTGTCTGGACTATCTGTTTTCTAACTTTTAAAAATATTCATAAATTGTTGGTACAAAATCTTTTGTTTCTATTACTGCATCATACAATGCTGATTTCATCCTATTTTACTTAGGCGAATTATACTTCTACTATCCTAAATCGACTTGATTTAAACACAATCGTTACCTAGTATTACTATGAAATGGAAAAGGTAATGCCTTAAAAATTATTGTTTTCGAGTCAAAAACGAAAGCCGAGGAAATCAAAATGAAATTAGACTAGGGATATATTTACGCTAGCTCAGTTTTTAGAATGTATTTTTTGGTAATAAATATTTTATACAATGAAAATGCATATAGTGTCATTTAAATCCTGCTGAGATATGGCTATGTATTTTATTCATATGATTTTTAAAGAATACATTGCAACATTTTTTACATATTATACGTAGGCCCACATTACTCCAGTTCCAGTAAAATGTCAAGTACTTTTGTTAGTTATATTCTAGTATTAAATCATTAAAACTAATTACTATAGCTTTGATAAAACATTGAAATATACTGTAGGTAAACAATTAAAATTGCTCTGAAAGTATAGTGCGAATAATTTTACAGTTTAATCTTGGTTGATAATGTGGAGTTAAATTTAAAAACTGTTTGCTGTATTTTAGTCGTATTAGTATAAGGATTTTTACTGTATGTTTAAACCCCTATTTCAATCCTACATTTAATTAATTGTTTCTATTTGTATTTTATTTGTAAATTTTTTATACAGCTATCAAAGCAGCAGCTCAAGGATGAAAGGCCCTTTAATTATCAGGGATCAAAAGTAAGAGCTCGAGACACGAATTTATCGTATTAGTGAGACTAAAGTGCCCAACACCACTCAGTTTCTTTGCGAAAGAAAGTGCTTAGACGATAAAAGACCTTTATTGATTTATAAACCGAATTGGGATTTTTGGTTCGTGAGATAACAATATATTTTTAATTGTTAGCAATATATTTATTTGTTTGTTCATTATGATTTTATCGTTGTAAGCATAGGGATAGCTTTGCCAAAACTCGGATGCAAAAGCAACCTATAAATATTGAATAATCATTTTTCAACCAATTTTTAAGCTTGACGTCAATTTGACTTTTTGTAATCATCGTTTTTGTGTAACCATCCATAAATTAGGGGAAATAATATTTTTAAATTGGGACATATTATAAGTACTTAAAATCTATTTATTTTTACACTATGAGTAAATATTATTATTTTTTTAGATTTTTTTCAACAATAGCATACAGTATTACATTAATTGCAAATACTTTTCTTATAATCTAAAAGATTTAAAAAAGAGGTAATTTTGTTTTATTCGTAGTATTTTTTCACATTTTTAAGTAAATTAAAAAGTTAACGTTTGCATAACAAGTCTATAACACCTCTCTTCCGTTACACTTGTGTTAAAACTCGTTTAGATATTCAGGAATATTTCAAATAAAAGATATTGACATATAATATTGAACGATGATTTGAGGAATCGTTGTCTTGTTCTCTTCAAACAAACAAGAACAAGAACAAGGAGTTGTTTACGATGAACTCAACCTTTGAACAGCTGTTGATGACTGATCACTTCTCTCGGTGACTGATCGTCCGTCAATTCACCTAACTCTGTTTTCCTCCGACTCCCATTTGTTGTGTAGAGATCTACAAGAAACTTCAGTATTCTAATAGGGTAATGTCTAACTCCTCTTTGCACGGCTTGAAACATTACTTATCTCCTTGACTGATTTGACGTGTTTATGATTTTATGTAAATACTAGTGTCCCTGTTGCTCGAATTCGAGCAATTGCTAAGTAAATATTTGTAGCAAACTGTTATAATACTATATTAGCAAACTTATTGACTGTTTAGGATTAACCTATGCTCTTCTTCTCACTTTTGATTTCTGACAACAGCTGGAGTTTCATAACAATTTTTGTTTCCAATGTTAATCTTATGGAGAAATACGAAACTTTAAAGGGCTCCAGGGCCTCACTCTCACATTATTTCCCTTTAAAAACAGTTTCCTGCACAACTTCACGCTACGCTCTTTCCAATGACACCAAAAACATGACAATTGGTTCAGTAGTTTCGGAGGAGTAATTGTCACAAAAATCCTGCTTGCGTATTAAATAAGTACTAGAGGACGTCCAGTGGTCGAAAACTCGACCAAAAATATGTAGGACTAAATTAAATTAAATGAAAAAATAATAAATGTAATGAAAAATTCTTTATTTATTCAGGAAAAGTTAGGTCCACATGGCCGTTTCTTACACCATGTATAACCCCATACTGTAAATAAAACATGTGATAGGAATTTGTTTTGATTTTCTGTTTATATTTTGTTGTTATTTCGTCACCATCATGGCAACCCATAACTCCCATGTTATTTTGTTTAAGTTTTCAAATTCATTTTTTGTGCTTATTTCTGAGCCTATTTTAATTTATAAGGGGATTCTGCAAATCTTCAGGAAAATATCTTTCCAACAGTATGCGTAGATTTTCCCTGCGATGCACACGAGCTGAGAAAAAAGGTTTTAAAGAAACATGCTTGCCTATTAATATATAGATAGATAGATAGATGAACTGTACAGTTTTGTCTCTTTGTTGAGTAAGGTTTCATACAAATATCTTAACAGACACGTGTGTACTCTGTAGGAGATATATTCAAATTCAATTTTAATATCATAAAGTAACACTTATCTCCTTGACTTATTTGTTAATAGTTCTATACTGTATTTGCACTTCGCTATATTTTTTAGTAGAGTTCTATACATATATCCAACACGAAAAAGTGTGTTATAAGTTTATGATGGATTTAACTTCACTTTGAACACTTTGAGTGATCACTTTTATATTTATCTTTGAACTAGCAATGTGACCACTCTATGGACGGTGGAAACCTGATTATATTCAGGACAGCAGTTTAACTTTTGTGTCACAGAAACAATGACAGACAAACAACAAACATACAGACCAAAAACACACAGAATCGATTTAAGACTCGTTTCACCTTTCTTAGTCCATGAAACGTAAAAATAACAAAAAAACTTCATGATTCTAAGTAATTTGCAGACAAAACAGTTTTTTATAGCCTAGATAATTAAGTAGTAATGTTTTCACCCTGAGCACATATCTTTTGGAAAGATTTCTGTGCAAATATCCAAGAAGAATGTATGTACTCTAATTGCTCCCTTTTTATTTGACTTCTCTTTGAACAACTTGAAAGGTCACTTTTATCCTTGTCTGATTAGTTCTAAACTATGTTTGATTGCAAAGGCCACTCGCTTTGCAGAGAGCCGATCAAATATCCAACAAGAAAGGTACTTACCCCACTTGGGAAAAAATTTCCTAGCTTCCCTTTTGACGGAAAGTTCCTTTATCTTCTTGAAAAATTATCTATCCATTCTAAACTGCATATTTCTCAGACACCTCAACCCTCAACAAACCCACCTCAACAAACATGTGTTTGTTTATATACAAATAGCTAAACAATATAGTTGGTCATCAATTGCAATCTGTATTTGTATTGGATACCCATTTTTAAACACATATCAGTACATAACAAGAAACGAGTACACACTGTACATGAACTATTAAACTTATCTTTGAACGGCTTAAGCTATCAGTTATGTCATTGACTGTACAATGCAAAATTTCCCTTGGTTTCTTTTTGCTTTTTAGGGGGATAGACTCACGACGTTGGGGGCTAGCCAAGATCAAGTCGTTACCGATTGAGAAGATTTGAACCCAAGTCCCCAGGAGTCATTCGCTTCAACGCAATACTAGTCACGCCTTATTAATAGTGGTTAGTAGTACATACTCATAAAGTGTGTATGTTTTTACACTTACCATGTTTTTTTCACTAAACATGTTCTAATTGCCTGAAATTGCTAAATTGGTACTTTAAGTTTTATTTAAATCGTAGCTTAAAACTAATTTTGAAATGTTGTTCAGTGGTTTATTGCGGACATTTTCCATCACGAATTTAAAAAACAATACACGACGTTTTGGGATCTGGAATCTGATCCCGTCCTCAGGTGAAAAAACTAAACTAACACATTACAACTAACAATACACAAACGCCCAAGCTAAGTTGGATACACTGCAGAGGGTAGTAGTAAAAAATGCACTGTATAGCAGTGAAGTAATGATACAACATGCAAATAATAACAAATCACAAAACACTATGATCTATAAAAGGTTTAACGTAAAAAACTCACACAATGGAACACTAATAGCACCGTTCGCAATGACTCCACCAATGAGACTTCCATTGTGTGAGTTTTTTACGTTAAACCTTTTATAGATTATAGTGTTTTGTGATTTGTTATTATTTGCATGTTGTATCATGACTTGACTGCTATACAGTGCATATTTTTTTTTACTACTACCCTCTGCAGTGTATTCCAACTTAGGTTGGGCGTTTGTGTATTGTTAGTTGTAATGTGTTAGTTTAGTTTTTTTCACCTGAGGACGGGATCAGATTCCAGATCCCAAAACGTTGTGTATTGCTTTTTACATTCGTGATGGAAAATGTCCGCAATAAACCTTTGAACAACATTAACTCACCATCACCAACAATGAACTTCAAACAATAGTTATTTGTGTAACTAGTGGTGAAAGTGGCACTTTGCTGCACACGAGAGCAATGTTTACGCACGAGCCGCAGGCGAGTGCGGAATGATCTCGAGTGCAGCAAAGGCCTTTTTCACTCGTGTTACACATTATATTTTTCCTACAGTCACTATAAAGCATATAAATAATTAGTCTTCCAAACACTATACAACACGTTTTTAGGTTCAGCTGGCAACACAAATGGTGCCCTAGAGAAAGTAGTACCCACGGTCCGTATCACTCCGCTATTTTTCCTCGGCAAGAAATGTGCTCCGCGTTTTGAGAATATAGTTCCATATGTTTTCGTAATTTGAAGTGGTTTCCGCGCCTAAAAAAATGCTTTAAAGGTATTTTCTTGTTAATTAAGATCGTAGGAATGTTTTAGAAACGTTTAAAAGAAAAGTCCAGAAAGTTCATAAATACCGAAACTATAAACACGAAATGACAGATTAAATCGTAGTTATAATAGTCAATCAGCTGCTCGTAGAATTTTTATCGTTAAGTGTTGCCAACCTATTTCCAAGCGTACACGGATTACGTGCATAATAGAACCACGCTGTTTTGTGTCGTTTCGTTGGAATCCTGATGTGCGGCAAAGTATAAACCGTACGGCAAAGTATAAACCGTGCGGCAAAGTATAAATATGCAGCAATTAGCAGCTTTCTGTACTATAAACAGTACAAGGAAGCCAACTTTGTCGGGTGACTGT